ATTTTTCTAAAATGTACTTATCGTATGCGTGTCTGTTTCTACTTGGTTTATTTCCATTATGTTATGGTAATAATGTAGTACTCGTATTTCTAATTTTTCATAATAAATGTCTACTTTAAACAGGTCAATGCGTATTCAATGAAGCATTATTAAGAATAGCAAACTGTTACCTATCTAATGCAGGTAATATTAATATCACTGCGACAATTTCTGGAAAAATTATTGCAAATGGATATTTGGAGTATGTCTGTGCTCCAGGCTACACATCTAATCCAACTATTGGTACTCGTCTTACATGTTTTAACAATGGATCATGGAGTCCATTACCAGTTTGTCAACGTAAGTTCTTCAACACTATTTAGTTTGTATGTTAACACACAGCAATTAATTTACATTCATTTAGCTATTAATCCATGTCCAAGTGCACCTCTCTTTACTTTCCTTCAGAATCAATCTGCGTCATTGACATTGAATAGCAGCTATAATCTACCAAGGAATGAAACAGATAATAATTATGTAGTTTCTGGAGCTTTCGTGCCAGCAACATGCCGAACAGGATATATAAATATTGCAGGTCCACTCAATATAACATGCGTGAATGGTACCTGGACCCGATATCCCAATTGTATCCTTAATATCAGCAATGTTTCTATGACTTCAATTATGACGACGACGGCGAAAGTCAGCATTGACGCTCCATGTCCTATTGAAGTGACCACTTTTTCTATTGAAAATGGATTTCTGGTTCATAGTTCAACGCTTATACTGCCATTTTTTACATATCAAGGTATATAGATAAAGAGCATTGCAGCTCTAAAAGTAAAACTTCGCACATTTCAGGACGGATTACGTTTGGCTGTAAATCTGGTTATATGATCGATCCAGCTATTAGTGCTCTTTACGAGTGTAATAATGGTGTTTGGTCTACTAAACCTCGTTGTTTAAGTATGAATGATATTGATCTTACCTCTTATATTCTTTGTCTTTTAAAGAAATTGATAACTGCTCAATTTCAAATCTGACAGCATTACTCTCAAGTACACCTCAGTTACAAACTACTGGTCTAACAAAACTAATACAAATTCCTGATAATCCAACTCTTGTTCGCGATGGTTCCTATGTTGTATTTAGTTGTATGAGTGGCTATGGAGCCGTTAGCGGTAGTCTAAGTGTGACATGCATTAATAGTTCATGGACCCAATTTCCAACATGTGTTCCTCTTATTCAGGGTGTGATTTCCCCGTATGAGTATGATTATTATATTTATCCATTCAGCTGTTCTTTATTTGGTTGGAGAAACAGAAATGAATGTTTAAGTATGAGAGATCTTGATTCTATAGTTTAAATATTTTATGTATTTTTTAGATATTACAAAGTTTATTTATAACTGTTCAATTCCAAGTTTAACAAAATTACTCCCAAGTATACCTGGCTTACAAGTTACTGACCAAATACAATTGAAGCAAATTCCTGAGGAGTCAACTCTCGTTCACAATGGCTCCTATGTTGTATTTAGTTGTATGAGCGGTTACACGAACGCTGGTGGTAATTTGAATGTAATGTGCATGAACGGTTCATGGACGCAAGCTCCCGAGTGTGTTCCAATTTCACAAGTTACAAAGGTATCATCAACTGGTAAATCAGCTTGCCCCTACTTGGCAAGTATGATTAATATTACGAATGGGCATGCAAGCAATTTAAGTGGACTCACATTATCAGTTGAAAATAAAGCTGCATCAGGATCATTCATTGATTACCAATGTGTATCACCGTTTACTTTAAAAGGCAACTCACGTATGATCTGCGAGAATGGTGTTTGGAGTGCACTCCCTGTTTGCACAGGTTTGTCGTCCATATAAAAACTTATTTTGCATTTATCTCTTCTTATTTTATGAAAAGCGAATTCAGGTTGCTCTGTGTCTGAATTACAATCAGTATTGGTTAAGATGAGAGTAATATCTAAATCACTCTCGGTCAGTGACAATGGTGATATTCTTGTTGGCGGATGGATTCAACTTCAGTGTGCACCAGGTCTCATTTTATTATCAGGCTCTCTAAATATTACTTGCAAAGCAACAGGAACGTGGACACAATTTCCTATTTGCTCATGACTGTCTCATTATTCAATCCTTCTTCTTTCTGTATCTTTACCTCTCTTTTTTTTATGTGTCGGTTGTATGGAGTGTATTTAATTACCAGAATAAATAAATAATGCTCGTTGAGAATGACTCGCTTAATCTTCAACTACAAAACCAGATTTGCCTACTGTAGCTTGAATCTTTAGAATGATGAAGACTCATATTTTCGCTTTCTCCCTTAACATTGCTAAATTTCTGTTCATCTTCTCCTCTTTATCTACTGACGTAGCACAGTTTCAATGAAATGTGCCTTTTTATTGTATACCTATATTCCAAATAGTGATGTGCAACAAACAATTATGAATCCTTACGGTGCTAATTGTCAGTACTCTCAAGCGTCACAATAAAGAAAGCGAATTATTAAAAAAAAGAATAATTTAAATAACATCTAATGTTGACTAACACAAAGTATTAATATACAGATAAAATAGGGACGTGTTTGAATGTAATTAACAATTGGGACTACTTTTATTTTTCTCAAACTTGTATCATTTTGTAAAGCAAATCACAACGAAGTGTTTGTTTTATCATAGTTTCCGTTCTATCCTTGTGGAAAATATGAATAAAATCACATGGATAATTTAATGAAATAGTTTCTAATTATAAAAGAAACTTAGAATCAACGAATTCATACTATTTTGTAGAGAACAAAAAGTTATGTCGATATATACGACTAGTTTTCATATTAAGTGAATGAAAAAAAAATCGTTAGCAAGATAGTTATAATCTTCTAAAGCTAAAAGTGATATATCTTGACTATTGAAATTGAAGATTTTTTTTTGCTTTCTCCAAATAACAAACAAAATATGCAGAACTTTATCCTCTATCTTTATACCCCAGTGAGAATGAAATCTAAGGGAATAGCAGATTTACGATCTTATCTGGCGGCGTCCTTTGTCCTCAATTACAATACCATTCCTTCGACTGAAGGGAGAGTCATTTGAAAAAATTAAATCCGTTTATACGCGTATCAAGAGGTTCAAGGTAAAAAAACATGGACAGTCACAAACCCAAGTTTGATAAAAGAGACCAATTAGATAGTGTTCTTTCATATCCTCCGAACAACACTATATTTTGTGCTGACAATAGTGAAAAACAAGCCTTCTGGAAAAATGGCCTACTTTTAAAGTAAAGTTAAAGTGCCGTATCTAATCTATACCACTTTTCTAATATTTTTTTCACTGATGAATTCAATACTCAGGGCCACTCTCTCGTTTTTACCTATTTTATAAAAGCTTTGCTTTTCTTTCTTATCAAAATATCTAAATGCATTCATTTATTTTCTTTTACCTGTGACGATCGATACCATCTTGAGGATGTGGGTGAAAAATAGTTTTAATACCAACACCCACATTGACACCCTCAATATATAAAATGAAAGAAATATGAAAGAGAACAGAAAATGTTAAGAAGAATTAAATTGATCAACTTTCAAAGTGAAAAAAATAGATGTCATTAGTATTGAAATATAGTTTGTTCAATTTTCTTCTTCTTTAAATTTGAAAAGTTTAGAATTTATTAATCGCGGATGTATTGTTGTTGTAGTAAATATCACGTTTTTATCATTTTGTAACACAATTACAATCGTCTTTTTGACCAGGAACAAAAAAATGTGTTCCTTCGAAGTGTACAGCAAGATAAAATATGCCCGCCCATCCTTCACAATTATTATATCCATCAGGAAGAGAAGAAAACTTCGAGCAAGTTTGCTGCATACTTGTAAGAAAATTTGTATCACATGTATTTCTAAGATTGTTACATGTTCCATAACACATATCATGATCATTACAGGCAGGTGTAAATCCCCACATATCGCCCAAAGGATTAATAAGGAAATTAAAAGGTGAACCTTCTCCTCCACAACCATTATATGTAGCAGGTTGAATTTGTGTAGAGTTTTTACGGGTTAATCCACAATAGCAAATATCGTCTTCACAAATTAATTCATTGGTACATTGTAAAGAGTAATACCAAGCAGTTCCAGTGTCACCTGCACAATCTGGAATAACATTGACTCTCAATGTACTTTCATCACCATCTAAAGTTAAATTTATTGCTCCGTTGGCACCGACACATCCAGTTGAAAAGATTTGTTGATTCATGTAATAAACTTCGATTTGATCTTTGATAACATATGTTTCATAAGAAAATGTTACTGTCGTATGTGATTTACCAATCTCAATAATTCTATCATCAGGTATATCATTTCCAGCTACTGTTTCTTCATTGCATTGACCACGAGCACCAATTATTTGAATCGAAAATGTATTTAATTGAGTTATATCTATATCATTAACATTTCTAACCACTCGAGTATTTGATTTACTACTAATTAGGTTATTTGTATTCAATGGTATTATTAGTGATTCTTCTCCAGGAACCAAAGCAATAACTGTAAAATTAGTCATTTGACCAAACAATTGAGATTTTGTTTGAAACTCCGAAATATTTTGTGATGCTGTACGAAGAACTCCAGGAATTGTTACAGTCATTTCTTGAACAATGAACGAACAAAATGATTTGCCAACATCTGGAACTTTTGAACATATATCAACAATTGGATAAGTTTGAAATAATTGTAAATATGCATCACTCTGTTGAGTAATTGTTGTAAGAAATTTATTTGAATCATAATATTTATCAAATAATGAATCATTAGTTGGTAATGGTACATAATATCTTCCACCACCCATAGTTAACATAACTGCACTTTTGTTAATTTGATTTGCATCAAGATAATTTAGTAATAAAGTACCATCATCAACTGAGCTACTACTAATTTGATTATTCAATTTTACAAGAATTCCTGTGAAAATATTTGGTACCGATTCATTTTGTGGAAAGATAAATATTGGTGTTGGAAATGTAATATTAGGTGTTTGGTAAGTACTGTTTATTCATATGAATTATTTTTTAAGACAAGTAATACTTTATACTGATTATTAACATCATCATAGTTAAAAACGAATGTTTCATTTAACGATCGTATTCGAACAATTTTACCATTGTCAATTGTATAAATAGTATTGTTTGTTTGAATTGCATAAATATTTTGAATATTTCCAGTATAATGTTTGATACCAAAGACATTTACATCGTCAAATGTCATAATTCCACTATCCTTGACATGATAACTAATTGCACGTGTTGATAAACCCTGCGCAATAACAAATTTTTAATTAAAATATGATGAATCAATCAATATGTATACTTACGCTCGTGGAATCATCACCAAATAATGTAAGAACTATTGAAGAAATAGAATTATTAGTAAAATTAGAGAAATCGAATGAAAACTTACATGTTGTAGCATTAAATTCGATTTGATTGAAAATATTGATAAGAGCACTCGAAATGATACTCTTTGTCAAAGGTTCATGACGCACTAATCGAAAGAATATTTCTAATTGATCAAATTCTGTAGAGTTATCCGACTTTTGATAGATAATCACCCTCTCTCCGTTTGAAGAACGACGATTAATTGTTCGACGACGACGACTACTCGCCAATGATTGCGTCGACACTTGGCTTATATTAATACGAAGATTTTTAAAATTTTGGTTCGAATATAATTTATTTTGAAGCTAAAATCAAAAAGTTTAATATGATTAAATTTGTTTTTATTCAAATAATTAGCTTACAACAGCTTCAAAAAGTTTCACTCGATTATCGGTTAAATTGCCTGAATGTAATACCATCGTGTTTTCACTAAGATCTCCTACAAGAGTTCGTGGTATATTGTATTTCAAGTTGATTAAGGAACTATAAGAATCTAGATAAATTACATAAGATTATTGGATTTTCAATAAAATTCTTCAAGTTTACCTCCAGCAGATAAAGTTTTTGTTGGTATAAATGCAGGAATAAGTGACAGTACAATTATACCTGCGATCAAAAAGAGTCCTACACCAATGAATGTCGTAGGAATCAAGCAAGAATACCATTTAGACCTAAAGTATATAAAAGAAATTAATGAGAATAAGTTAACTGAAATATTTTGTACCATAAGGAAGAGGATTGGACATTTGCTGCCATTTGTAGTTTTTTTGTTTGACAGATTTTCTAAACTAAAATTAAAAGAAATTCAAATTTAATCATGAAAAATCGAATATAACTTCAATCAGTAAATGATTACTAATGTTATTCGTTAAAATATCAACCTTTTTATAGTCATCAGTACAGTACAGGTACTTTCCTGATTAAAAAGAAAAAGGAAGAGATTTTTTTCCGAGTTATGACTAATTTTTGTATAGTCATACATCACTTCCTTTCTAATCGTTTAAATGAAGTCATGATATTTATTTTTTATGCTTCATTGGAGAGAAAGGAAGTGATACATACATCAAAATTATGAATACATTAATCATACAAAATAGATAAGATATATTAACGACGAAACTGATTTAATATATATATTTGAAAAAGCAATGATGCAAATCTATTTTCGATTTCTTCTTTTTTTGAAAAGTATTGAAACTCAGCAATTGCTTCACGATGTAAAATGAATTCCGCGTAATTTTTAATATATCGCAGGCAGAAGAAATAATGATGTAATGGCGTTAAAATGCTTTCAAATTTACACAATTATAATAATGCCTTTTGGACATGTAGAAACTGTTTAACTGGTAACGAAATAATGACTATTACATCACTCATTATTTTAAAGCAGTTTCTCTCATAAAAGACTTTTTCAGAAACTACGATTTAGGTGGAATTTCCCAGACATATTAGGGCTATAATAGAGTCGTTATGGCAAACCTTTCATCAAAGGGGGAAACGGTGGACTTCGTACTCCCAAGATTTTCATGGGATTCTCGGAATTTCAATCATACTCCGGATCCCATATCTTTTTTATCGCAATACATACGTTTTTTTCGGTTATTCTTATAATATCTTCAAGTCTTTACTATATCATTGATATGCACTAGCATTTCTTTTTTTTTATAAAAAGAAGGGTGTGGGTGTGGGTAAGAGTAAGTGAGAGTGTCTCTTGCTTATCTCACCCATACTCACACGCACACCCACACCCTCAAGATTAAATATTATGAAAAACGTACTGTAAAACTAGGAGAACATTTGAAAGGATAATTAAAGCTATCGTATTAGTTATAACTTCTGTTAATCCTAATAAATTAATCTACAAGAGTAAAAAGCAAAAATATTCTTTTTTATTTGGATTTGAATATTAAAGTATGTGATAATCCAGCAAAATTATGGAAGGAAACAGTTCGCGGCCGTCATAAGATGACAGTTGTTCTAACTGAAGTATTATTTGGAATTTGAATTACTTGTAAGAAAAAGACTAAGACAACTAAAAGTTAATTTGTTTCAAATGATTCATATAATTCTGCACTATTTGGGTGGCTATTGCCCGATCCACCAGTAACTAATACTTTTCCATCTGATAATACAGATGCTGTGTGAGAAGATCGTGTAATAGTCATATTACTAGTAGTTGTCCAAGTGTCTGTTGAAGGATTATATAGCTCAGCACTATTTAAACTAATATTACTATTCTGCCCACCAGTGACTAATACTTTTCCATTTAATAATACAGATGCTGTGTGATATTCTCG